TGTCAGAACTGTGACAAACAGTGACTAAATAAAATGACAGACTTGGATAGGTCATATTCTGTTCAGCTTTAGACAACTTGAATCTGTTTTTTTTATTCTGATTTTTGACAAGTTGAATAGCCTATGTGTTCTTTCACAAGTCTTTCATCAAGAAGTACTTTCCCCATTATACAGAGCAGGAAGAACCTCTGACTCACGGTGTCAGTTTATAGCAAACAACAAAGACATCAACATAAATGTCAAACTTAATTACTGGCATGTTCAAACATTATTTTCAAGTAACATACAAGATGTTGGAAGCAGTCTAGCTTAATACAGTTGTTAGGTTTACCTGTTTTTGTCAAAATGAATTAAAAAAGTTTTCTGTCTTTTTACTTTGTTTGCCATCAGTTTTCTTTCAGCTCACTTTGGATCAGAACACAGCAAACAGAAACCTCCTTCTGTCAGAGGACAAGAAACAAGTGGTGGTGGTGAAAGAGAAGCAGCCATATCCTGATCATCCACAGAGGTTTGACAGCTGGAAGCAGATACTGTGCAGCGAGAGTTTCACTGGTCGCTGCTACTTTGAGGTTCGATGGAAAGGAACCGTTAGAATAGGAGTGACTTATAAAAGAATCCAAAGGAAGGGAGACAGTGAGGAGTGCTGCATTGGGTGGAACGATCACTCTTGGAGTGTTCTCTGCTCATCTCAGTGTTTCTCCGTATGGCACAATAACACCGAGTCAAACATGAAAACAGTCTCTGCCCCTGACTCTGACAGAATAGCGGTGTTTCTGGACTGGTCTGCTGGTACTGTGTCCTTCTACGCTCTCCCAGGTGTGGTTTCTTCAATAAAAAAGGTCCATTTACACACTTTTCACGCCACATTCACTGAACCTCTCTACCCTGCATTTTCATTTGGAACAAACTTTGAGTTTGAGAAAGACTCTACATTGTTGTCTTCCTCTGTGCTTCTGTTACATGTTGATTGATCAAAGTTCATCATTACTAGAAGAGTGATATCCAGCAATGCTGTAGGNGTATTGAGGAATATATTCGTGTAATTTTTAACTCTAAAAATAAGGTCAATGCACAACTCAGTTTCTATTTGTTGTAAGAAGCTGATCAAACGATTTGGACTGTTCGTGAACGTCACATCTCAGAAACTCATTTCATGCCATTTGTCCCATCTCTATTGTGTTGTTGAATCTAACTCTTAAGATCCAGCACATCAGCACTGGATCAAGCTGACATCTGAACTGATTCCATAGGTTTAATTTAAGAAAAATCAGAGGAAGGACCTGACCTGTCCATTCACAACATCATCAGTGTGTAGACAGGGGTTGTTTAGCCTACTAAATTGTACCACTCCCAACATATCATTGGGCATAGCTGAGCATTTATAAAAGAGTTGTAGCAGGAAGCTTTAGTTATTTTACTCAACAATGTATCAGTGCTACGTTAGGTTAGGAGTTGGAGGAGGATAAATGTCAGTTGGGCATTCACATAGTAGGATCAGATCAGATGCTCATCAAAGCTATGCAACTTGCTAACTCAACAACCAGGTTCAAAGAAAAGATAATTTTCAGCAAAGTGACATGCAGGAAGAAGAGCTGCACTGCTTCACCAGAATGCCCACAATGTGCTGACCAATCACACGCTGTGAGCTGCAAAGTCCGCAGGACAGATTTCTGACTTGTGGGTAATGTACATGATGGTTGTCAACCAGGCAAATGGAAGTTATACATTTTTTGTGACTCAGCAGGGGGAGCAAGACTTGTGTAAAAGTATGAACCAGCCTTGTCTAATTTCCCTCTGGGTTTAATAAAGTATTTTTGATTTGAGTGATTTAACGAAAAACATGAGGATGAAGGAAATCTTAGATCATTGTCAAACTTGTTGTTAATCTACCTCTCCAAATATAAGTATCCTTACGCTAGTGTTGATGGCAGAATATGGTGTATTTAATAAGCTTTAAAGCAATTTAAAATATATATTTGTTCTCTTTGAGGTGTTGGAAGAAGAC